TGGTTCAATATTTATTTTTTTAAAAAACATTTGACTTCTATCTGGTCTGGTACTAGAAACTCTTTTCTGTTTTGTTAGTCTGTATCTCTTTTGTTAGTGCCACATTTTGATGGTTGTATCTTTGTCGTAATTCTCATAATCATTTAGTATGAATCTTTCATCTTACTCTTTTTCAAACTTGGATATTCTGAGTCCTTTGTTCATATTAGTTTTAGAATCAACTTGTCGATTTCAGGAGTGTCTGCTGACATTTTATTGTGATTGCATTGAACATAGAGATCAAATCAGGAACCCTTGGTATCTTGACAATATTTGAATCTTTCAACGTATGAAAATGTTATATTTATCCATTTGTTTAAGTCTTTAATCTCATTAAAATTTTGTAATTTTTAAAATATAGATCTGGTGTACTTTGTTAAATTTATACCTAAATATGTATTTCATTTTTTTCATATGCTTTTAAAAAATTCCAACTTTCTGTTGTTCATTGCTAGTCCTTGGAAATAAAATTGTTTTCTGTATCTTTATCTTGTATTCTGTGCCCTTGCTAAACAACCATATTAGTTCTAGTAGTTTTTTCAGAAGATTATTTGGTATTATTTAGGTCATAATACTGTTTGCAAATAAAAGTTTTAATTTTTTTTCTTGCCATATTGAAAGTGGACCTTTTTGCCTTACTCCTTGTCTTAGAGGGAAATATTCAACCTGTAAATTTTTCAGAGATGCCCACTGTTCCTAGGTTTGTGGATAGTTTATTGGAAATGAATGTTGAATTTTATCATGTGTTCTTTCCTATTGAGATAATTTGTGGATAGGGTAAATTCTGGTGCTTGATCTTTGAATGTTGAATCAACTTGCATACTTGATTCAGTTTGCTAATATTTTGCTGAGTGTTTTTGTAACTATGTTCATAGAAGATAATGGTTTTCTTACAATAATTATTCAATCAGAATAATATTGGTTTCATAAAATAGTGTTGGGAAGCATTTCTTCCTCTTGTTTTTCTGCTGGATTGTAATAACTTTGATATTACTTTTTTCATTTTATTGGTACATTTGAGGTATACATAGTGATAACATTCATCATATGGAATTTATACCTGTGTGTGATATGTCTTGTTTTTTTTTTTCCCATTCCCCTCCCCTCCCTTCAACCTGTATTACATCTTTTTAAAATGGTAGAATTCACTAGTGAAGCCATCTGTGCTTAAGAGTTTTCTTTGTTGGACTAGGAATTTAATTTCTTTAATAGAGCACTCTTAAGGTTATTTCTTCTTGAGCAAGCTTTATTTTTTTCTTTCAACAAATTTATTTCATCTGGGGCTGGGGATTAGCTCAGCGGCATAAGTGCCTGCCTTGCAAGCAGGCAGTCATGAGTTCGATCCGTGGTACCCATAAAAAGGAAGAAGACAAAGGAAAAAAATTTATTTCATCTGCATTAGCAAATGTATTGGCATAAAGTTGTTTGTAGTATTTTCTTATTGTCCTTTTAATGTCTATATCTCTTTCATTTCTGATACTTGCAATTCGTGCCTATTTTTCCTGACTTGCCTAGCTAATGTTTTATCAATTTTATTGATCTTTTCAAAGAAACCACTGTAGATTCATAGACTTTTGTCTTTCTGATTTCAGTTTCACTGATTTCTGCTTTTATTGGATTTGATTTGCTCTTTTCCAATATTTGTGGTAAATTTTTGTTTGTTGTGATAGAGTCTGTTTTCCCGGCTGACCCTGAACTTGCTATATAGTCTAGGCTGGTCTCAAACTTGCAGTGCTCCTTCCTCAGCCTCCCAGAGTACTAATACTGTGGTGAATTTTTTCTCTATTTTAATGATTCAAGTGGCAAATCATTATTATCTTGTGGTTAACTAATCAAATCCATATCAAGCCCTGCCCACACTCAGGTATAATTTCTACTCTACAGAATGAGGAAAAGGCACCTATGTTACTTTATCCACATGCGTGTTTTTTTTGTGTGTCTTTTTGAGACAGGGTTTCACAATGGAGTTCAGGCTGGTCTTTAACTTGTGGAAGTCCTGCTGCCTTAGCCTCCCAAATGCTGAGATTCCAGGCATTTACAGGCATGCGCCACCTGACCTGGCTTTTTTTTTTTTTTTTTTCAAATCTATCCTGACAGATGATTATATCTACATTTGATTAGAAATACTGCCCCGTGTAAACTGGCAATGATTTCATTCTTTACATTTGGAAAGTTATTTTAAATTGGTCTTTAAATGTAGTTTTCCTGTAAATTTCCTTGCAGGTCTTGTTATGGAGACAAATGCAGAGATTAATGGCAAATTCAGTTTTGACACTTGCATTCATTTTTTTCTTTCTTTTTTTTTTTTTGGTCTTTTTCATTTTTATCAGTATCAGGGATCGAACTCACGACTGCCTGCTTGCAAGGCAGGCTCTTATGCTGCTGAGCTAAATCCCCAGCCCCGACACTTGCATTCAAATCGTTAACTACATAATATTCATTTTAGCTTGTGTTTGAACTTTATGAGAACTGAATTGTGCAGTATATATTCTTTTGCGATGTTGGTATAACACTGCTTTAGATTAATCCTTGTTGATGGGCTCAAAGACATTCATTTCCAGTATTATGTATAGTATTATGATACGTCACTTAAACACAGTTCATTGTTCTGCTGATGAACTTTCGGGTGATTTCCAGTTTTGTTTTTCTTATCTGGTTTAGGCTGTGTTTCTGTTTGTCCCTTTCTTTCCCTTTCTGTGTTCTCCTTTTTTCCTCTTCTTCTGTCTCTTCAGTATTGTTGATTGAACCCAGGGATGCTCAACCACTGAGCTACAATTCCTGCATGTTTTTTGTATTTTTGAGACAGGGTATTCCTAAATTGCCTAGATAAACTTGAACTTGCAATCCTTCTGCCTCAGTCTCCCTCAGTACTGAGATTATAGACATGTGCCACTGCACCAGCCTTCTAGTTTTTTTGTGTGTGTGTCTTTTGGTACCGAGGATCGAACTCACAACTGCCCGCTTGCAAGACAGGTGCTTATGCCACTGAGCTAAATCCCCAGCCCGGCCTTCTAGTTTTTTGATATAAGGAATAATGTAGCTGCGACTATTGGTATTCATAAGTTTGCTGTAAATGAGTAATAGAACTGTTGATCTGTGATACAGAAACTTTAATGCACCTTGGTTCTTAAAATTCAAAAGATTATATAAATATATAAAACAAAGTTTATTCACTTGCAATTGAATTATTTTCTCTGGTTATTTGATATATTCTCAAAGAAGTACATTGGAACTACTCTGAAGCTTTTTGAGGAAAGGAAAAGCTATTCTTTTTTTTTTTTTTTTTTTACATCACATTGCCATGGGTAAAATATATGTTACCTAAATGTCCACAAAGCATTTCAAAATTCATCCATGATCCCCGCTTTGAATTTTATAGCACTTATTTAATATTTTTGTTCATTTCTAACTGGTTTATTGCATTTATCAGGCATGCCAGCCTTCTTTTTTAAATTTTAAAAGCTGCATGTTACTTGGAGCAAGCAGTTAGTCCATAATTTACTTAATCATTCTCTTGCTGAAAGTATATGTTGTTTTCCAATGTTTTACTATAACCAATACTGTGATAAATTTTGGGGAGACTATAGCTTCTTGTACGGAAAGCGTCATAGCCGCACAGCAGGAAACAACTACAAGACCTTTTGGATTTAGTAGAATTAAAATATATTGACTGCTTGGCTTATATTAGGCACTGTGGTATGTGCTTTTGCATATGTTTTGTCACTTAATCTTCACATAATCAAGAGAGATGATTATGTACAGTACAGTATACCTCTCACTGTATTTAGCTGAATATATTAGAGTGATTTATCCTTAGTATCTTTTGTCTAAGAATTAGGATATTTTGAAATCTTTATTGTCTAGTTGAATTCCTGGCACAGAGAGGTTCAGTGGGTGGTATCTGTTGAAATGGACTTTTAAAACATTTCTGGCCTTACAGAATTTTCTTCTTTGCTACCTTCATTTGTGGAGCCATAGTTTATCCATATATAAGGTAGGGAATTGGGAGATGGTAAAGTGATTCTAAGATGTGCCTAGAAAAGTACTACTTGAACCACATACCTGACTTTTTTTTTTCTGTGCTCATGACTTAACCCAAGTCCTTGCGCATACTTGACAAACACTGTACTTCAGTGGCTTCAATTTTTGTGTGTCTGTTTCTGTCAGTTGTCTATTCATGGTATGTGAAGAGGATATTCTCCCCCTCCCCAGTGCAGACTGGGGATTAAACTCAGGACCTTGTGCATGCTAAGCAAGTCTATATCACTGAGCTACATCCCCAGGTTCCTATTTTGGGAGGGGAATGGGGGCTTGAGATTGGGTCTCACTATATTGTTTGGGTTGGCTTTGAATGTACCATTTAGCCTAGAAGTAGCCTTGAACTTATAGTCTTCCTGCATCAGCCTCCTGAGTGCTGGCATTATAGGCATACACCATCATACCCAGCTCCCAGCCCTGTTTACCTTTTGTTTCGATACTGGGCCTTTATTAAGTGACTTAATTGCCCTGGCTGGCCTAGAACTTTTGATCCTCCTTCATCAGTCTCCCAAGTAGCTGGGATTACAAGCATGTGCCACAGCATATGATTCTACTTGGAATTTTATTAGTTGGGACTTTATGCACTATTGAAATTAATGCCTATTTGAAATTATAATTTAAATTTCAGTAAAGAAAATTATTTTCTTACTGGTTTACATTGTATTTTTCTCACAGCTCTGCTGATTTAAGCCCCCATTGCTTAGTAAGACAATGATTTCTTAAAAAAAAAAAAAAAACATCCCCTAGAGGAACTGACTTTATATTGATGTTTTGTTTGTAATAAAATATTTTCTATTAATCTTGTTTTGAAGCCTAGTATCTATATATAGTTATTGGGAATTCACTATTTAACCATAATTATCTTTACTACAATTTTGCTAGTATATTTACTAATATGTTAAATATCTTTTCCCCTTGTTTAGGTATGGCTGATGGCAAGCATTGCACTTTTCCACATCTACCTGGCAAAACCTTTGTATATAATGCTTCTGAAGATAGACTGGAGTTGTGCGTGGATGCTGCAGGACATTTCCCTATCGGTCCTGATGTTGAAGATTTAGTGAAAGAGGCTGTAAGTCAGGTTCGAGCAGAGGCTACGACAAGAAGTAGGGAATCGAGCCCCTCACATGGGCTATTAAAACTAGGTAGTGGCGGAGTAGTAAAAAAGAAATCTGAGCAACTTCATAATGTAACTGCCTTTCAGGGAAAGGGGCATTCTCTAGGAACTGCATCAAGTAACCCACACCTTGATCTAAGAGCTAGGGAAACTCCAGTTGTAAGAAAGCATAATACAGGGTCAGACTTTAGTAACAGTTCCACTAAAACAGAGCCTCCTGCATTCACAGTTGCTCCTAGTAACAGTGAGCTTATTCGAATAGCACCTGGAGTAGTAACAATGAGAGACAGCAGGCAGCTTGATCCTGATGTGGTTGAAGCTCAGCGAAAAAAGCTGCAGGAAATGGTTTCTTCTATTCAGGCTTCAATGGACAAGCACTTGCGGGATCAAAGTACAGAGCAATCACCATCTGAGCTTCCTCAAAGAAAAGACGAAGTTGTAAGTTCTTCTGCAAGGTCTGGGAATCTTCAGACTGGCTTGCCTGAATCTTTTTCTTTAACTGGTGGTACTGCAAATTTGAATACAGAAACAGCTGATAGCTGTGTAGCAGATACACTGGGAGGAGCATTTTCCTCAAGTTCAAAAGCACAAAAGGGAAGTTCTGTGGAGGAACCTGAAGAAATGGATAGTCAAGATGCTGATATGACTAATACAACTGAGCCAATGGATCATTCTTGATTTAATTAGGCACTAATAAAGGCAGAATGTTTATTGTGAATATGTAATATTTGTTGGCTGGGCCACATAATTTGATTAGTCATTTAAAATCTTGTACATATATAATTCAAAGATTATACCTTGTTATTCAGTGCATGATAGCAAGTGTGTGATTGGCAATAGCTTTTAATATACTGCTGCCCAGGCTGGCTCTGAATTCCTATAAAGTAGATATTTAGATCTGCTGAGATAAGTTTCTTTCATTTCTGTGTTTCATTGGAAGTCCTTGTAATTTCAGATCCATGAAAGTCTTAAATGTTTCAAAAATGAAAATTTTTGTGCTGAAAAATGTTGTGGTTTCAGAAAAGACCAGAACTGGAGAGGAAATGAGATTTTGCAAATGTTGATGTTATCAGGATAACCATCCTACATTACTAGAGTGTCAAAGATTTGTATAAATTTGAAGGTTATCTAAACTGAATTATATTTTAAAATTCTCAAAATGATTTTTTAGACAGTCATCCTGACATTTCTGTGAACATAAATATATTCATAGAAATAGATGTTCTTGGCAAAAACGTGTTGAGAATAGAGTATAATGAAATAACATTTTGCCAATTTGAGCAAAGGGGAAGAATAGTCTAGAATGATAGTGTGATTCAGTTAGTTACTGTCTGAGCCATCATGGCCAATTGTGTGCTCTGTGGATAATACATTACCATTATTTTTTGAATCCTGGCCTGGTCAAGTACCACCTAATTTTTTTTAAATCTTACAGAAGAGTTCATTGTAAATTGTGGTAGAAAGTTGAAAAATGATGATAGCAGTTGTTAATTTCTAATTTTCAGAATATGTCAGATTTACAGAGAATTTATAAATAAGAATTTATCTTTATGAATGAGTTTTGATCAATGGTATTTAACCTCTATATGCTAAGTGTCTTTGAGCCCCTCTGAACCAAAAATGTTTCCTTTTTTATTAGAGTCCATAAGATTATCTTTATTTGTTGGCTTCACTTGGATTTGGATGCAAATTTTACTGCATCATACCCTGATCAACTCAGCATTTGCTTCAATATTGTATTCATTAAATCTTTAGTGGCAGTTTCCTGAAGAAGCAGCTTTCATGCTTATTCCTTAGAGACAAGTGTTTATCTCAAGATTGATATTGCACTAATTTATCCTGTTCTGCAGATCTGTATTCTGAAATGTACATTTCAATCTATCTCCCTCTGTTCACTGAAATTAAGTTGAATTTGAATGGATGAAAGACAAAAGTTAATACAATTTCTTTCTCAGAGCATTCAAAGCCTGGCTGTCTCTGTTTGCACATTATAACAGGTGCAGAACTGTTTGCCACTCAAGAAAATGTACATCAGAAAGCATACAATCAGTTGTTTAAAGGTCTCTGCTTATTGATTTATAGGAAATACAGACAATACTTTTTTTTCAGTGAGAGAGGTTTTGATCTTTTCTCTAAGAACATATCTATCTAAATCCACATATTAAATACTCCATTTTGAGTAAGAAAAAAATGGAGAATCTAAATATTTTGTAGGTATATCTGAACAAGACATTATGTGTTTGGGTTAGTTTTTATCATAATATGACATTTTTCTTTGCAATATCTTAATCTCCATTGTCCCTCTTCTGAATTTATTTTCAACATCATTCTCTGTATCAGAACTGAAGGAAAATTTAAAAGTTTCCTGTTATGCACTGGTTTTGTATAAAGTAAGAAGGCTGCCAAATAATATTTAACACTTAGCATAGCTAGCTTCCGTATTAAATAAAAATTAATACTACTTCACTAACTACTTCAAATATTTATGGCCTTTTTTTTGCCACAGACATTTTTTTGGTGGGGAAATGGGATGGCTTACATACAGAAAATTTATTCAATGACCAAAAAAAATACAGTGCTCCCAGACAAATTATATTATCATCTTTAACAAATATTTTCACCTGTGGCTTGGTATGTTAAAAATATCAAACAAATTTTACCTCCCTATTGAATATTTTAAATTCAGTAATAATTATAATGTACATGTGAATGTTAGAAGATAGGCTTAATCTTTGTTTTATTTCTTAATGACAGTAATGCTAGTTAGAAACCAGTTAGGTGTGAATATTGTAATAACACTTTGAATTCCACATTAGTAAAGATAAAAAGGCTTCATTTGGAGAACTGATTAGATTTCTTAAAATTATTTTAAATCAGTTGAAATGTAAGTAGAATAATTTTTTTTCAGTGCTGGGTATTGAATCTGGGCCCTTAATGTGCTAGGCAAGTACTTTCTACCTCTGAGCTGCATTCCCACCCCTTATTAATGATTTTTTTTTTTTTTTGTACCAGGGATTGAACTCATGACCTTCCACTTGTCAGGCAGGCCCTTCCACTACTGAGCTAAATTCCCAGCCCCTTATTAATGATTTTTTTAATAAGTGGGTCAGGTATCCTTTCAAACAAGTTTTAGAACAAGGTTTCAAGTTTAAGTATCATCCTATTTGTTATAGTAGAATGATTATTTTTTAGTGTACTAACATTTGTAATACTACTGAATAGTTGAGTTCGAGCTGGAGATCTCAAGTCAATGAAAACATTTGTTTAGTCATCTGTTAGTCATATAATTGAATTCTATTTGTCATGTTCCATTGAACATAGAAATATAATTTCCGTCAGTTATATCAAATTTAAGTTGATACCCCAAGTCCAGGTAAAATTGAACATGGCATATATTTAGAATGTTGGAAATGAGAAAATGGTTGCAACTAAATTAAATGAGACATTGTTAAGTATTAGGAGACAGAATTAAAGAGTACGCCAAAGGTTTATCCTCCCTTTCCCTTAAATTATGTTTGAGGTATTTTGTTGGAGAATGTTAGGATAGAAGCCTAGAAATTTAGCAAATGCTTTTGACTAGATTCGCTTTATTTTTTCCTGTTATTTATAATTTGGTTTTTATAATCAAGATTGCTGCTTCCAGTTAAAATATTTCCAGTCACATGTCCTTATTGCATTTTTTTTTAATCACTGTACTGGAGATTAAACCCTGGGCATTCGCACTGAGCTCAGTCTCCAGCCCTTTTTTATTTTTAATTTTGAGACAGGGTCCTCACTAAGTCACCAGGTTGCCCGGGCTGGGCTTGAACATCTGGTGTCGGCCTCCCAGAGTGCTGGGGTTATAACCACATGCCAACATCTCCAGCTTGCCATTTTGAGGTATTAACATTATTGTAAATGAGAAGTGTCTTTTGCATATGGTCTGTTACCTCAGGGAAGATTACTTGCTAGCAACTCACATACATGCTACTAATGATAGTTTTTTGAGAATTTTACTGCCATTTCACATTAGCTACTAAATGGAAAGTTTATAATAATATTGTTTTAGGTAATTAGCTACTAAAGTATTAGTCTGCTAGTGAACATTTCTCTATTTAGACTGCACTAATCACTAACCTAACAAGTGTGAAATAAACTTATAATTCGGTCATTAATTGTACTTGAACTGGTTAATATATTGATAGTATCATAAAACATTTGTTTCAGAATGTCAATACAGTTTGGTCCTTATTTTCCAACAGTAATCTTAATTGGCCCTTACTAAAATGCTGGGGCACAGATTTTGAGACTTATAAAACAAGATTTCCATCTTTTTTTTTTTTTTTTTTTTTTTTGTCTTTTTTGTTTTTACCAGTACTGGGGATCGAACTCACAACTGCCTGCTTACAAGGCAGGCACTTATGCCACTGAGCTAAATCCCCAGCCCCAAGATTTCCATCTTAAGATTTTTCATAGTAGCAAAGCTTTGCAGAATTGGTTTAAATTCCACTCATCTTACTAAGAATTTAAAATGATCTTTTATAACAAAAATAGTAAAGTGCATATTTTAACTTGGGTAGACATGTTTTACTTTCAAGGTTTATAATTTAGCAAAATTGTACAATCCTAAGTTCTTCAGGTTAACATAAGAAACTAATTTTCGTACAACTACTTAAAAAATATACCACAGTAAAATACATATTTAAGGAGAGATATATCACCAATGTTGTTAATAAAGTTAATTACAAGTTCTGCCATTCTCGATAAATCTTTGAGATGCTAAGTGTTTTGGCTCATATGTAATAATACTTGAATCATGAGAATTTTAACATTTGTTCCAAAAATAGCAGAAATTGTAAAATTTGTGAACTATTGGGAGAAAAAAATGCCATTACTTGTATATCTGACATTTAAATTTTTAAATTATGGAGTTTACATGGTTTTGTAGCTTATTAATATAATGATAATTCTCTTGTAAAAGAAAAGGAAAAACTAGTAAAGAAAGGTTTTAGTTGATGCTATGTACTTGTATAAATTTCTGAGTATTTTAAATTTTAAGATGCATACTTCTCTTTAGAATGCAAAAATCCTTTCCTAAGCCTTTATCCCTGTGGTAGAGTAATAAAAGACTGACAAGGTTATCAATATTTTCAGGCTTATTTGACTTTAAGAATTAGAACTGAGTATTGGAGAGTCTACTTTTTGGAGAAAATGCTATTTATAATATGTAAAAAAGCATTAGTAGTGTAAATATTTAAAAAAATTTAAATAGCAAGTGCTTTAACCACTCAGCAAAATAGTATAGCTGTCATACCATCCTTAAGGCATTAGTTGTTACCCATTAGCTTCTGATTTTGTGACCATGATGTATAGTATATTTAAATAATAATTGGTAATAGCATAACTGTATAGTGTTCTGCAGCACACCTCACTGTACAGTATTTGAAATTTTCTTCTCTATAATAAAAGTATAATACACATTGATTACCCCCTCTCAATTTCTCCACATTAGCTTTTTAAAATAATGTATTATTCTTTAGCTTTCTGGAATTCTACCTTAATATAATGCATGAATAAATAGTTCAGTTTTATAAAGGTATTCTTAGTGTAATGAAGCTTTATTTTTTTAATTTCTTTACGTGAGTTATCATACAGGGGCAGTCATTTCTCCCATTAATGCAAATTTCAATGCTAAATGAAACTGACCCAATTAGAAAAAGTAAGCAAAGTTTCTTGACATGTGAGCCATGTAATGCTTACCTGATATTTGCACACAGACATTCTAGTAGAGAACTTGGGCTTTGTTGTTGTGTGTATATTTTGACCCTTTCTTCTTGTCTCCTTTTCTTTTGAGAGTCTCATTGAGTTGCTAAGCTGCCCACACTGGGCTCAACTGTGTGATCCTCCTGCCTCAGTCACCAGATCTCAGCCTGAGATTACAGGCAAGCCTACCATGCCTGACTTTGGTAGTTTTTTTAAAAAAAATACAACTTTGTGGTAATGAGGAAATAAGGGAAGTACATAAAATAGCACTAAACTGAACTTGTATAGCTTAAGAACACTCCACTTGTATTTACTTTTAGATTTTAGTATTCAGGCTTAATATTTATGTTATTAGAATAGATATACTCAGTAGTTAGCATGTAACCTCAGATGACAGACTTCCTAGTCCCAAGTCTTGGCATACTGCTTACCTACTGTGTGAACTCCTCTGAGATTCAGCTTTATCCTTGAGAGAGTAACATTGACTTCTCTCCTTAGGGTTGTTGTGAGGATTCAGTGCCTGACATGTAAACACTCAAATATTTGCTACTGTTGTTATATGTTAAAATAATGCAGTAGAATTTAGTTGCCATTTAAGTAGGATGAATTCTCACATATCAGGCACATGTTTGTTATATTTAAAACATAATTTGTGGTATATTATTAAAGGACAAAAAATGTTAATGTATTCAGATATTTGTAGGAGGGCTTTATGAGCACATGCAATGCTGAGAATCTGGAGCACAGTTGTGCTCTGTAATATAAGTCAAGTCATAGAGCTTTTCAAGGCCTTCATTCCTACTGTAACTTTATGTTTTCACAATTGTTACCCTTGTGTTTTGTTGATCACATAGTAACGGTTTCTTTAGCTGAGGATAGTACTGGATGGATAAGAGCACCAAACGAATTGATAACTACCTTTCCTTTGTACCTTGACTATAGTCCCAAGGTTGGACTTGAGGTCTCGTATTTGCATGCTTTTGGTCCCAACTCCATTGAGACAGAACCCTCAAATGCTCCTCAGTGAATAAAGTCAGATACATACTATTTGTGACAGTTCATTATGGATTTTATTTTATTAAAGTATTAAAGTCTAAGTAGTTCTTAGACTCCAGTAACTGCAGTTCTGACCAAATAAGTTTCTAATAATTAAAATTAAATTGAAAAAAATTCTAACTATATGTACACTGAAATGAAAAACTCATAGGCCCTTCAGATTTGTACTCCTTAGAATTAAACTTATCTTTGGTCCATTTGTCATATCACATAATTCTTACATGAAACAGAAAAAAATGTGTGAGAACCTGGGAGGATTATTCTGTTTATTGATTCTATGCATTAAAAAGGTATATATGTATAGGATGAGTCTACCTGTAATGAAATGCTTTATGGAATCAGCATATTACATATTCATAAGAAATACAGATCAAAACCCAAGTTTTTCTAGGAATTGGGAAACTGCTGAATGAAAAATTACATGTGCTCTTAAAGTTTATGTTCTCTTAATAGTGAAGTCAAGGAAAAAACCACATAATAGCTATTTTTTAGTGATTCCTTTCCCTATATCCAGACAATAAGCTAAACATTTAACATACAATAATTAAGTCAAGTATTAAAACAACAGTTTATGGTTGGGTGCTGTCATCTTCATCTTGCAGGAAACAAACTCCTATAGATTGGATAGTTTATGGTTTTAGTCGTAATAGGCAGCAGAGCTGGGATTTAAACTCAGATGCTTCACACCATGCTGTGTGCTTAACCTCAATGCTACATTTATAATTTAGCAAAGGAGTAAAATACAGCAGTTGCATGAGTCTTTACAGACTTCTGTTATCAAATCTATTTTTTTTGACACTCAGAAATGGTTTGAGCTCATTTCACTGTAAAGTATGGTGCCTTTCATTTCTTGCTAGATCTCTTTCTGAACCTCAGTCCTCTACCCCAAATTTCTTGTTGGAGTTTATTTTCTTGCTTCCAAATTTGGAGATGCTTCCAGAAAAGTTTCAGAATTTTTAAAGTGGCTAATATTGGTAAATTTGAAATTTTCCCGTTAGATGAAAGATTAGCTTCAAGAACCTAGCATAATTACTACTTACTAAGTGGAGGTCTGTTTAGAGAGGATTCCTCCAAAGGTGATGTTTTTCTAAGTATAGTTCATGGATTATATGGCCATCTCATAGAAAACATTTCTTTAAACTATTATGTGCCAGGTACTTTGCTAAACATACGTATAAGCTGGTGAGAAAGACATACCTCATTATACTAATTTTTAGTGAAGAGACATTAAAATAAGCACTTATTTTACACAGAAAGGGAGTAGTAGACGGTGTGGAATTATGTGATAGGAGGGAACTATTGTTCATGGTTAGAAATGCTTCCTATGAGGTGTGGTAGTTTGGGGTTTGCAAGGATAACAAAATAATAGAGAACACATAATTTATAGTAGTATTTATAATGGTCACCCAAGGAGTCAAACACAAAGAAAGTGCAGGAAATCTGTCCACACACCTAAGACCTATAAAATCCGGTTGAGGGCCTGGATCATATGGCAATACCCTGCATGAGTTCAGCTGAAGATGTAGAGCCCATGACAGTGCTCCTACGAATCCAACTAGAGGCCTAGAGTCCTCAACACTGACGCATGCAAGTCTTGTTTCACGGATCTGCGATGGGACGGCCCCAAGGTCAGAGGCAAAGCCTATGGGATGTGCCAATGGGATGAAGGTTCTGTACCAGTAGGCTGAGGTTCTACATTGGAGCCAGGAAGCAACTTTCCAAGAGCCAGGATTCCCCTGAAAGGTACCAAAGCCATCCTTAGCAACAATGAGGTCCTGAGCTCCTCTGACAATGAGAACAGCCAAGTTCATATCAGGAAGCTAGCATGACAAGCTCCTGGAGATTGAACAACACACATCTTCCTCTCCAGAGCCAGGATGCAATGCTCAAAGTAAGTGCCAGAGCTCCCCAAAAGTGAACTGCAGACATTCTCAGTGACAAGGTACTGAGCTCTTCCAGTGATACCAGCTGAGTTCTTATCAGGAAAGCCAGCATGACAAGCACCTCCAGGAGAATCAATAGCTCCAAACAGTAACACTTTCCCTTGGGGTCTCCTTTTTATGCTGGCCGCAATCCTCAGGTGAGCCAGTTACACTCAGCACCATGCTGATACTTTCAGCTGATACTTAAGTTGACCATCAGTTTTCAGTTTACCACAAGAGATGACCCCTTAGCTGAGACCTATAAGATATTTTAAAATCAAGTTGGCAAGATCCAATGTCTCCAAAAACATTTTACTTCCAAGGTCAGTACATCAAGCAAAATTAAGAGAAAAGTTTGTTTGCAGTACTATCGACCCCAGTATTTCCTATAAGAGGGCAGTTATGGGTTGAACAGAGAAAAAGAGCTTGAGAAAGCTTGGGAAATCAGGTTTGCTAGTGAAAGAAAAAAATGAACAGAGAATGAGAATCTGCACCTAGTAAAAACCACTTCCAATCCATTTGTTTCTTTGAAATTTAAAAGATGTCTGCTACTGAATTTCACCAATACATATTACATGTATAAATGTATAATAAAAATGTAAGCAAAAGAGTGAAAGAAATTGGACTAAAAATCCTCAGTTCTGATTTCTTTCAACATTTCTAGGACTTAGAAAGATTAATTGCATGTCTTTTTCTAACTTGTTGTGACCCTATGAAAATACAGTAGACCCTTGAGTTATAACTGGCCTCATACAAATAACTTGTGTTACAACTGGAATTTTTGCTTTAGTTTACACATAAAATATTGAGTTAGAATTGTAAACAAAGACTTGATGCCAGAAAAGTGTGAGCACATTTAAGTAACAGTCTGACTCCAGATGCATGTGTTTGTGGACATGGTTTCAGTGCTTTGTATAATTAATACAATTGCTGCTATCAAAATGATACCAAAAAAGCTAGAAAAGAAGCTAAAGAAAGAAAGGAAGGTAAAGGAAGCAGCCACAGTTGAAAAGAAAAGGCAACTGTGGAGAAATAATGAGAGTAGCATTCGTGTGACTGATCTTGCTACTAAGTACAGCGTATCAAAATCCACCATCTCAACAATCTGACAGAGAAAGGATTTATATAAGGGAGGTAGTGTTACTAAAGGGGTCACTTAGATTAGGAAGTCTCTATCAACAGTATTAGACACAGCAGAAAGGCTCTTGTTAGTGTGGATAAAGGCAAATAGCAGGTTACAGTGTGAGTCTACAATTTGTGAAAAACCTAGGAGTATAAATGAAGATGTTATAAAGAATAATCTATCAGTGAGTGATGCTGTGGAAACATTTCATCCTGGTAAGGAATGGGTTCATTATTTTTTATTTTAAAGAAAAAAAAAACTAAAACCAGTGATAAAAAATTTCAAAAGATAGGAGAGTAACAATGGTTAATACATTGTGTGTTGTTGCCTTCGAAGTAGTTGCTTATATTACAAGATGCAGGCATGAAAATTGATCAAACAATATAAGCAAAAACCTTTTCAATGAACTAATAGAAATTAGTAGTATCTATCTAATTATCTTAATTATCACATATATATATATATATATATATTTTTCCTTTTCCCTTTCCTTTTTTCTCCTTTCCCCCATCCCAGTTTCTGTTTCCTTTTGAGCAGTTTTTTCCCATTTCACAGTATCTACTGTACGTTTTGGATCTTATTTTTTCTTTCAGCTTGATACATTAGGGAGATGATACAATG